AGACGGAAACAGCCGCGAATACACAACAAGTGGGTCGATTGGATATCCTAGAGGAAAAGCGACCAAATGAAGAGAGAGCAGACTACGAACCAGGGCACAGGCTATATCCACACCATAAGGTTGGGAGTTGGGACGAAGGAAGTTCATCTCTTGGACGGATGACTGGCAGGGAAAAGCCGTGACCTAGGTCCTACACAGGAATAGGGGCAATATCTCGTCTCCCAACAATACAAAGATTTTCTGGTCACCTGAGATGTGTCCCCTACTCAAAATTACTCTAGAGTATAATGATTCTATATCATTACTCTGCGCCACTGGGCACTAGGCCCCACCGACACAAAAGGAACATTGTTTTCTATCTACCTCTATTCAACTGTGTTGGCCTTGCGTCCGGAGCAGGATTTTCCTAACTCTGCTTTGACGTCGGCCATGCGAGCCGTATTTTGAGCCGCGTCATACTTTGAGACCCTAACAAAGGTACTAATATGTAACTCTCAAAGTGGACACAGAGACCATTGGCCGGGTTGGTACGGCCTAGCGATGCATTCATGTTCAGCATATTTTCATTGCATCGTTAAGTCAGTATCGTCATCTGTATTGCTGGGTGTTGGGGGTTCGATTCCCTCATCGGCCAAATGTTTTAATTTGAAAACCTTTACCTAAAGGCTCACTTTTATTTTCATGCTGCCCCTTTTTATCCATTTTCTTCGGTTTTTGAGATCTGGGAGCCATGACACGCGGTAGTGTCATCACGGGAAGATCTATAGCGATATATTCTCCTAACCTGGATGGAATATATCTGAATTAGGGTCTGATGGATGTTTATGCTGGCGACAGAGCCGTCTTAGAGTCGAGCAATCTATTCTCAAGCCCTGTTGGTCGCAGAGCCGCAACGAACATCGCTGAGTCAGAAAAATTTGAAAGAAGAAAGAGATCAAACGAGACCGCTACCATGGAAACGACGAAATATATCGGATGGGTCGATCTTGTCGTCTCCCGGAACACCAACGGGGCAGTGGCTGTTTCCCAGACTCTTGTTTCCATTCGGACCCGCTTCGATGGACTCTTCCCGGGTACGACGACTGTTTCCTCAGCCTCTGCGCCAATCCAGGGTCCTATCACAGACCTAATGACAACTAGATGAAATCCGGCACGGCATTTGGCCCCAGTATCAGCGGTGGTCCTACTAAGCCTTCATTACCAGACGGGCTGCCCACCCAGTCACTCGAGCCTGCGCGCTCGGAGAGGATCCCAACTTTGAAGTAATTGCGGCACATTGCGGTTGTCCAAATGCAGACTCAGTTTGCCAACTTAAAAACACGTTTTTGAACTTAAGCAGTTTTACCTTCATTCCCCCTATTTACAAGTTACAATTGGAATATACCCGGGCACGCTTCCTATACTGCCGTCTACCACTCCATTCATCGAATGTGGGGCCATCGACTACATCTTAATCGTATCGCCGCCGACAAGAATTGCAATACTAGCAAATTCAACACATGCGTTTGATGGATAACGCCACTTCGAATGCTCATGGACGACCAGATACTGGCATCTGATCGCCAAACAGAACACCTCTCGTCACCAAATAGAAGATCCTTGTCCCGCACCTCCACTGATTACGGTACGGTCAACCATTGATGAAAATTGTGTGAAAAGAACAGCCAACGTGTTTTGAAACCCAGCACTGAAAAGTGATTCATCAAAGCGGTAGGGTGAAGACAATGTCACTGATGGAACACAGAAAACAACAACAGAACAAAGCATCACCGTGCACAAAGAAACAAGATAATGCATTATTCAAGTAACTCGTGAAACAAGATGCGTACAACTTAATAACAGTCAAGGTGTTGCGAAAAACGACAGGGGTGGGAAATGAATATATACATCCGGCGGGTGACCTCCAGTTCCAGTCCTTCCCCATCCTCTTTCAACACAATCCCCAATCCGACAAATCCCTTTCCTATCGCACTACCAAATCTCCAGAACGAACTTTGTCCGCAAGCGACGATGCCGAGCACCACGGAGTCCAACACTGCGAAGGATAAGGGGAAGAGCGGGGACAAGAAGGAGTCTGAGACAGAGAAGAAGGGCGGCTCGCTTGGTTGGCTTCATGAGGCGGCCAACTATGTGAGCAAGGACGAGAAGAAACCCCCTAAGTCGACTGGGGACTGGATGAAGGACGGGGGCAAGATTGTTTAAGGGCTTCGCAAGTCGTGACGCCCCTTTTTTGATTAGCGATTTTGGATGGGCGTACCTGGCAGGATGAGATCAGATAATAAATTGACTGCCTTTTGAGAAAAAGAATGAGTTTCATGCTATGTGAATGCTTGAGCCTTCTGATAAGTTACTATGTAGACATTGTGTTACATATCTTTTCACGGCCTTGAGGTTGAGAAGTTGACGAGTTGAGTTGAGTTGTACCTTATTTCCTCACGTCTTGTCATGAGACTTAAACACCTCGTTACCACTACTATCATCCACAGCGGTGAAGATGTCACAAGATATATTCAGAAACCACGGGCAGTCCTTTCACGGGGCCGAGCTTGAAGGTGCGGCGGAGTCGGCATCGTGACTCTCATCATCATCAAGTTCAGTAGTACAGAAATTGCCGTGATTATGAATAATCGCAGTCCAGAACCGGCCCTCACGTACCAAAGCTCATTACAAATCTGACACCGAGGCTGAGCACGAGCTAAGAAAATGGAAGCTGAGAATCTACGGCTGAGAGGCGCCGTGTCGGGCTGATTGTTTCACAGACCGGGATCCGCGTACATACTTATATATAATCAGCCTGCTTCCATTGAGCTTGATCTGTTTCTCAACAAGAGATGAAAGCAGACACGAGGCACGAGATGAAAAAATAATGAGTTTTGTAGACTTTTATATCCGGTTAGCTCGTCGCTTATTTTTGACGTCTTTGGTGCTCTGCTTCCTCAAATCATGGGCTACCGAGGCGAAATCGATCCCGTCGCCGTCTGGCCCCTATCACGTCGGGATAATGAGACATACCATCCCCTACTATAACGACAAGGACGTTCTAGCACCCAACAACATCAGCACAGCTTTCCTCGCAACAATATTCTATCCCACAAGACAAGCGCCACAGGACCAGCCAAAACCCTACCTGAACCCCGAAACAGCAGCGTTCTACGAGTCATCGAATAACTACACAGCGGGTACGCTGGCATCGCTAACATCATCTGTACAAGAAAACGCGCCGTTCCTGGACCGGCGCGAAGACGGCGTCTATCCGACCATTCTCTTCGGGCCGGGAGGCGCCGGTCCCCCGACCGAGGGCAGCACGATTCTACTCTCGGAATTGGCATCGTACGGCTACACGGTGGTGGGGCTAGACCATCCTTTCGAGCAGCCGTTTTTGCGGTTCCCGAATGGGACTGCGGTCGCAGGCGTCGATGTCGACTTTAATAATGCGGACGTCATCGGCGCGATATACCAGACACGTCTGGTCGATAACGCGGTGTTCTTGCGACATTTCGGCGCGCTCGTGCGCGAGCTGAATGCGCCGTTCAATGCGGACCTGATTGGGCTCCTGGGCTATTCTCTGGGGGGCGCCGCCGTGCTAGGGAGCATGTTGGAGGAAAAGGGGGAAGGGTGCGAATTGGCGGCGGGCCTTAATCTAGATGGGCCCTTATGGGGACGTGCTGCGGCGAACAGTTCCGAGGCAGATCTGCATCGACCCGTTCTACTGCTCGGCGAAGAAAAGCTGATCCCGCCGGCGTGGAGCTCGTTTGCGAGGTGGCAGACGGGGTCTTACTTCCGGAAGATCCTTATCAACGGGACGCTGCATCATGATTTTAGCGATGATGCGTTTTGGAAGACGGTTGAGCCTGGCGTTGATCTCTCTGTTGGGCGCATTGATGGCCTTCGACAGATTGATGTTACGAATACTGTCGTGAGGGCTTTTTTCGATCTTACGCTATTGGGTCATCAGGGGGAGGGGGAGGAGATACTGTATCGGCCATCAATGGCTTGGCCGGAGCTTACGTATTACTACAAGAACGGGTCAATGGTCTTGATGTAACGAATCAACAACTCGCTCGCTTGGATAACCTGAGTATAATTCCTTGTTTGGTCTTGTTATTTTCTTTACGGAAATTGTCACTTGCCCCCCTTTTTCTTCGGTATGCCAGGAAGAACATGATATGGCAATCGTCCCATTGCGTATAGGACAATATACGAAGCACTATGACAGAGACCATATGAGATCTAAGACACGTGCAGGGTCGAGTCAGCAGTGGTTACCTGCGCTGTCAAGACAAGCGCCCAGACGCCGTCAGAGCAAGTAAACCGAGGACAATCGAACCGAACCGAACCGAACCGAGTCGGTCCAACCCTGCACTGGCCTTGCGAAAATTTCTCTCAGCTCTTCTACGCGCGAGACAGCATTGTCAATAGTTCCACTATGACTCTATCGTAAGGCTGGCATTACTCAATCTCGCATTAACCAATGGCCAGTACTCGATGGGCGGTAGGGCCTAGTGAAAGCCCCTCCCCTCCCCCCTGAGGTCACTTCACGAGATCTCATCTCATCTATTGGATACGATCTCGGACAACGAGACTCGCGCCACTGCGTCGGTAATGTAACAACAATTGAGATCCAAGGATCGACATCGCCATCCGTCAAAAGGACAAGCGGGTGAGTACGGGGCCTGCTGCGAATTGCAGCGAGTACACAGCCCAGCTCAAAACTTGGATCGCTTCCGATCTTGTAATTTGCGGAAATACTAGAATTACTCGAGCGCCGATTTGTCGGTTATGGCGGCATCGCTAACGGGCGTCCCAAAACTTCGGCCTCGACCTTCCAGTCAAGACGAGAAGAGAAAATATATCGCCCAACGATATCTGGTCGAGCAAGCACCATGATGTCTGCTGTTGTCGTGTGGAGTTGACAGCAGGAAGAAGATGAAAGGAAAGAAGGGGGTAAAAAAAAAAATTGCAAAAAAATAGACGGCACCGCCGTTCCATTCGATCAATGTCGCCCCAGGCGGGGGTCGAACCCGCAGCCTTCGGATTTCGGATACTTCACAGGCTAGAAGCTTGTAAAAGTCCGACGCTCTAACCAATTGAGCTACTCGGGCAATTTTTCACGAATGGTGCAGTAAAATCTCTCATGTCGGTTTATATGGGGAGCCTGATGATAATCCGTTGCTGCCAAGCGTGTAAATTGATTGACTGATTGATTAGCCTACATTGTAACCTCGGCACGGTTGGTAGGATCGACAGACAGACAGACGGACAGACAGACGGACAGACAGACTTAGGCAGACCAGATGATGCTTGGATTTGTTACTCAGTACAGAAGTTTTGTTGCACATGTGAGGGGAAGTAAAAAGGCTCAATTTGATGATGGACAATCAATTATGACCTATCTTAAAATCACTTGACTCTCGTCCGTGCTTCGTATGGCGTATGTCCGGACGATGCAGGTCATACAGAAGTACGGAGTGCAGAAAGTCCGATTCCACTTCGATGAAAGGTCGATGCGAGACGTGAACATTGAATCGCCATATCGGGTTGTTACGGGTTTATGCAACTGCCGGGGGTCAAGCTACCTACGGACGTAATACCTACATGTACTTCTGCGCTGACCTGGGCTTGATGATGGATGGCCTGGCCTACGGATTAATACCTATCACGAGGTTGCTCACCTATTATCATTTCTGTAACGCTACCTTAGGCACCTATTTCTTCGCTGTAAATGGCCAATTTTGGTTTGTTGTCACCGTTGATATCATAAGAAGAATGAGTAACCACCCGAGCTGTCACAAAAGCAAGCCGCAGCTTTGGTTCGAAGACAACACATGGCATCGACCTCACCAATCGCCAATGACTCGCACTCCAGCTCAAAGACAGCTGAGCACACGATAATCGCCCAGCTACGGATCCGTACTTACTTACAGTGAGGCCCCTCATTCAGGTGGTTAAACTCCCTACAAATCTACGGACCGTAATACGGACGTACCGCACCCGCTACCAATGTCTTTGAAGTACGGACACATAGCGTGCCCTATAACTACATACCTAGATCCGAATGTACTTGGTAATTGCTGCATATACCAAGACCGCTAAGGCGAATAGGTACGTCGCCGTCTTTAAAATGTCGCATGCACGTCCGCACCTACACTATAAACCCTCCCTCCCCCTCAGGATGAGTTGATCCCGAATGCTACGTACTTACAAAAGAGAGGGGTAGCGGGTACCGCCTGAAAGGACAGCTATTAATAAAGTCCATCTGAAAAGGGCCCGCAGATATTTAGGTAGCAGAAAATCTGATGTATCCAAATCGGCAGTCGTGGTCAGACGCTCGTTGCCGTATCATATTTGTCCGAGTCGTACCATAACATATGATGTGATATGTAATTGAGAAAAGGCAAGGTCAATTCGTCAGGCTGGACTGCGTTACAGTAGTGAGGTGAGTGTGGTTCAAACGGCCAGCGACGTCTTGGGGGGGGAAAAAAAGGTGCCGGTACCGGTACTGGTTCCGTTCTATTCTGGGCAAGAGGGAATTTGAGGATAGGAATTTCGTGTTCCTGATCAAAGATTCGCATAGCCAAGAAAATCCCCCCCTTATTAGTCACCCTATATGTCGACTCTTATTGAAAAAAGGGTCCTTCACACCCAAAGTTGAAAGGTAGGTACATTTTCTTCGACGTCTCGATACATAGGTAGTGTAGTAAAAATAGTACGTATGGACTGCAGCTCCAGAATACCCGTCATTCCATCTGCCATGCTGGGCGGAACAGCGGATGGGGTGGATCCTCGACAGTTGAAGTAAGTAGAATGTCCCGGGAATAAAGATTTGACCAGAGATTCTCTCGCGCAGGTTTACCTCTATACTTAGGTACTAGGCTGTAAGTGTAAGGTATGTACTTCGTACTTCACTTTATCATCTACCTATATGAGGAAGACCTACAGGTAGGTAGAAGAGGACCTCCCGTCATCTTCACCTCGTCTTATCCAATGGAACTACATCCCGTTGGGATTTGGTGAGAGCTAATCATGCACCACGACGGTAACACTTGTTGTTGGTAATGTACTTTTGTTATAGTACCTTAAGTATTAGGTAGGTGGTGCATGCACGGAATGGAATCCTGGGATACCCGCATCTTGGAACGGCATGACAAGATTATCTTTACAGGAAGGTCGTTGGAATTTCGAGGATACCTAGGTATGTTACCTTACTCAGTGTAGTTACTGTAGGTAGAACTACCAACATACCAAGTACGTACGCGACGGTGACTGTGACTGCGGAATAAACCGATGAGGTGGTAGGTAAGTAATTCGCGAGCTTGACGACTTCGACAGCTGGTCTTAGACACCGCGGCTGACGGAACGCCTCGTTGATGCGAGTTGATGTTCATCTACCTTACCTTCCTATCTGAGTAGGTAGATAGGAATTCTGCACATTAACCTACCCAGGTATACCTACCTACTTACACTACTCCGTAACTTTGGCAGAGCTACGTCCGTATCGCGAAATAAGACGGGCGATATACCTACCTAGGGGAACGGAACACCCAACTGGTGCTTACGAAATACTTATACACAGCAGAGGCAAAAGCACCAAACCAGCCCTCATCAGTGATGGAAAGATGAACAGAAGAAGAAACGTATGCATACGTCGTACCTACATCTACCTACCCTTTATTTACTTCGTACTGGCCACCGGACATGATCAGTTCCAGGTACTTGGTACCCTAAATTCTACGGATCCGGGAAGTGGATCGAAAAAACGTGTGTACACGTGTAAAGAAAGGTACGTACTTTGGTTGCGCCATGGGGAGGAAAAATGTGGGAACGAGGCGCCAGCCAGTTTAAGGATTTATGTACTTACTGCTCGCGGGGCAGGTTTTTTTTTTTCTCCTCTCTCTCTCTCTCTCTCTTATCTACCTAACCTAATCTATAATGTACCTAATACAATTGAAGGGCTTCGGAGACAAAGGACTTCCAATCTTGATAAAAAAAAATAAAAATAAAAATAAAATAAAAGATAAATACATCCTGCACGACGAGAATTTTGCAGCCAACCGGGAAAGCAACGCTATCTATATATTACACCTCTACTCCGTAAACCCCCCTCCCCCCCTGATAACAAGAAAATTCGGACAATGTTGTTTTTTTTGTATTACGTCATGATGTGGACGTCTCGATGTATCGTTGCAGAAACCTCGCCATGTCGACAATGCTGTCCTCGTACGGAATCCAGCTCCTGCCAGTCATCGCGACCGCCTTGCTGGAGTTGAATCCAGCAACGTCATTCTTCGGCTTGAAGTCGTGCGAGTAGCCCTGCCCGGGCTGTCCGGACTGTATTTTCAGCGCTGGCATGCGCCTGGCCAGTATGTCGGCAATGGCCTGCCCGCCGCCAACGGCTGAGGAGCATACGAAACGCTGCCCGTCGGCCTTCCCCTGATTTGACACCGACCATAGCAACATACGTGCGACATCGCGTATATCAATTGTGTCGCCGTAAACTTCCATAGGATCGGGGATGTCCCTCCCCGCAACGACGTTCCAGATGTTGCTGTTGGAATACGGGATGTCCTTGGACGCTTTCCACGGAATCAGGGGAGGGCCAATGAAATATGTGGGTTGGAGGGCCGTCATCCCAAATGAAGGCTTGTGCTGGTCCCGGAACGTCCAGAACAATTTCTCGGCTTTGGTCTTGCTGGCGAAGTATGCGAGAAAGCAGCTGGTGTCGTCGCCCTTGTGCTCGAAGATCTGCTCTGATGTCTGGTTCCAGTCCCTCTCCGTATAGAGCCGGTTCTCCATCGGCAGGTCGAACAGTGCTGCCGCCGATGATAGGTATACAACGCTTTTCATGGTACTGCCTGCCTTCATTGCTGCGTTTAATACGGAGGCTGTGCTTTCCACGGCGATCCGAACAATCTCTGAAGGGGGCAGTGTCCACAACTCGGCCATGGGCGCCGCGAGATGGAAAATTGCGCAGCATCCTAGAGAATACATTAGAGCCTGTTCTCCTATTCGAATATGGATATGGGGAAGTCACGTACCCCTGGCAGCGTATTCTAGATCGCCTTGCCGGCATAGATCAGGAATCTCCACCACGTCGATGTCCTCCGCACGATAGCCCAGCTGGCAGAGGGCCGTCTTCACATTGTCGCCCGCAAGCTTGTTGCGTACAGTGCCGCGAATCCGATATCCCTCCTTCAGACATAGCTCGGCTGTCCGGCCGGCTAGGTAGCCGTTCAAGCCTGTGATCAGGATGGTCTGCTTCGCGATTCCTCTGCTCATGGGCTTTTTCGGTGGTAATTTTGTCTTCATGCATGAGAAAATCGGCAAGGTCCAGGTGAGGACCCGGCGATTGAGTAGAACAACCGATGTAGACTCCATCTTTCTTATCTTGATTTTGCGCAACGGTACAAATGAAAGCGTGCTATGTCAGGGAATTCCTCACGAACCATAAGGACTGTTTGCAAAGTAAGACAAAATCACTCAAAGTGATGCTCATCTTTATATATATATATGTGTGTGTGAGTGTGTGTGTTCATATATATGAGAAATTGGTGCCATGGACGCGGGAATGAATGTAAAAGTTCCGTGACAGGCCTGTGCGATGATCCTCAACGCTCTCCCAAGTAATGACATGTGTTTCAAGGCTCGCCCCGTGTCCGAAGGCATGGCTGAAGCCACGACTGGATCCATGTAGCTCCGGCTGGAGGCAAGGTATCTGCAATGTACTTTTACAAAAGTCCAGATCGCTGGGTTTTTGGGTTAAAATTCGTTAGAATATCAGAAGTCGGATTCATAAAGTGATCGTAGTTTTTCTGTAGAGGCTTAGAGTCGCGGAGCTAAGATGCAATCACACGTAGGCAGGTTCCGCAAGTGAATGGCTTTTGATCTTACGTATAGGTAAGGTAGGTCAGGTAAGGGGATCTTTTTTTTTTTTTTTCCCTCTTTAACCATCTCTTTCTCATACCCCCTTTTCTTTTTCTTTATGTTGGTAACGGTTTTGGCTCCGTCGTTACATCAACGCGCCACCACACATGGAATCCAAATCTCATCCAATCTACCACCACCATCTGGGGCGGCGCATAGGTAGGTATGTCACTACTACCTA